GAGGGGGGGGGGGGGGAGGATTTTTTGTTTGGCTCTTTTTTTTTTTTAATTTTTTTTAAGACTGAAGCGCTTTTGCTAATCGGTAGCTTCGAGTGTGGCGCATGAGGCTGGCGTTCACGGGGCCTGCAGTTTGCTGGAAGTCTGTATGGCCTAGGTGTCCCCTTAGGTAGAACGTGATGGGCTGTGTTGCGTCTTCCGGTGTTTCTCAAAATGCTCAGTGGCTCTTAGAGCCCACTGGAAAAAATCTGCAACAGCCAGAGGTGAAGTCATGCTTCCGTTGGTGCCTGTGATCGAACGTGTGCCAACTTCAACTAACCCCTCTGCCGGGAGAGCTCTTTCCTGTAGTAAAAGTCTCTAGGCAGAAGCAGGAGCTGTCTCTCAAAGTACCACTCAGATAAATCATCTCATTCTGTTGTGTGTTGGGGCTTGTGGATGACTTTTTATGGCTATTTTTAAAGCAAGAGGGCAGATCGTGATAGGTGGCATGGCATTTCAAGTGAGCGCTGCACCAGAAGGTAAGGAAGGCAGTGGAATTTTGTTGTGTGTGTTACAGATTTTGGACTTTCATTGTCTGAAAGAAGCAGATACCCCGTGCAGTCTGTCTTTACGTGACATTGCTGCATCTGGCAGTAAACTGTTGAGTCATTTTTGCTGAAACTTTGAGAGCTGCTGAATTAAATACAGGTTCTGAAGGAGAGCTAGAACTTTTCCAGAAACATAATTTTCTGTGTTTTATAGAGCCTCTATGTTTGAAAGCCGGAGAAGACTGTTGTGACTTTTAACATTATACAGCCAAAGAAAGTTGCCCAGTGGCGTTTTTATCAAGCACAGAACTTCTCTTCAAGCTGAAACCTCTCTTTTTAGAGAGAGAGCCAATTCTGGCTCAAGGTTTTGAGCAATGGAGAATTCATCGCATTTAGCTGAATTGTTTGAGCAGGTAATAAGACTGTAGGTAGGTGCTTGTATCTTGATTGAGAAGAGGCAGTTGAAGATGGCGCTGCCTCCTGCTGTTCTTCAATTCCTAGCTGGCATTCACCGAGCAGTAGTCCTGTCAGTACTGTGAACGCTGCTTTGGGCAAAACCTGCCACATTCTGGTTAAGTTTGCAGAACTTGCTCAACTGACTCCTGCCTGAAGCAGGATGGGGAGCACACATAGCTGTTGCTGCAGCAAACTTGTGGGGTAGTCATTTTTGGTTGAGTGCTTGTGACAAAGACCTAGGAGTAGTAGGAGTAGTAACATTGTTAGTAGGTTACAGCTACCTGCAGCATGGATATCTGCCTTACAGTTTGAGAGCGTAGTTCCTGACTAGCCCATATCTTCCGTCCTACCCCTTGCTTGAGTTGCTTTTAACGCTTGTGGGAATTTGGGATGAATTGAATCTGCTCCAACTGAACATTAACCCAATAAAACATAAGTAGTTTTTGGTTGGGGCCGATCCAGCCCGCCAGGCCCTGCATGAAGGGCCGGGACCTGTAGGCCCAGAGCAGGGCAAGCTGGTTATGATACTGCATCTATGCTCTTAACGTGGGCTAACGTGAGAGCATCTTCCTTACTCAAGCAAGACCTCATGCATGTTTAGCTGCTTCCTGCATCTCTTTGGCTGCAGGAGTCACTCTGGAAAAAAGGCAAGCTCTTCAGGCTTGTAAAAGGAGGACTGGGAGGGGAAAAGTATAATGGGCTGCTGTATCACCACCTCCTGATCTGTTTTTTGCCTAGTTCTGTGCTGGCTTAGTGCTTTGCCCAGTTGCACTGGACCCCATGAAACTGTCACTGTGTCCGGTGACATTGCTGGATTCTGCTCACTCATGGCCTTGTTGCTTCAGCTCCTCAGTCAATTGTGTCTGTGTCTGCTCTTCAGCCATCCTGTCCCCTGCATATGATGGTTGTAACCGAAAATTTCACAGTACTGTATGCTTCTGTGACTCTCCTTAGAGAGACTGCAAACTCTTGGTGTTTGCAGTGTCACTTAGCTCACTTTCTCCCTTCCTAGAGAGACCTCTGGCAGTCAGATGTCATTGACAGGTTGGATTGAGGGGCTGACTCGACTGGGTTTTGCATAGACTCTTGGCAGGACAAAAATCTTATCATAACGTGGCTGTTGTGTTATGTACTGGTTGGGACGGCAGTACTCTGACCCTTTGTCTCTGGCTTACTGTGTGATCTGTTTGCTATTCGCTTGCTTGCCTCTTGCCTAAGTTTTCTTGACTCGCATGGGTCTGGAACTGGCCAAGTGTGTGTGGAACTGTTTTAGTCTTCAGGGGGGAGTGGAAGAGACCTATTTCTAAAAGTTATTTTCATTTAAAGGGTCTCACAAAACAACTGCTTTAACTCTTTAAAATGTAGATGTTGTGTGTGCCCAGGTAACAGGGCAGCTTATGATGATTTTGTGAAAGCTCTTAAGTGGCCGGGGTGATACAGAGAGGTGATGCTGCAGTGTGACTGAAGTGAGCTGCTGTGTGCAATAGTCATGATATCGATAAGAGGGCAGAATAGACGGCTGTGTAAACAAAGAACAAATGCAGCATATTTTAGTCTGTGGGGGCAAAGAGCAAAGCCTGACAGCCTCATTTGCATCATTTCAGCTACTCCTGAGGACAGATGAAATCTGTTTACACCACAGCTGCTCTTTTCTCTTTCCCATGAGTAGGAAGAATCGCTCAACAGATTTTTTTCTCTCCCTCTTTTTCATGTGAAAGTGGCAAAACCCATGTCTCCAGAGGACTTGTACAATCGCTTCTTAATTCATCACGTTTCATATTACGAGGCTGTGAAAAGCAAATCCTCTGCCTCTCGCCACAGGGCCTTGCAAAACCCAAGCAAAGATAAGGGCAAGGCTTCAGCAGGGGTTTTCATTTCCAGACAGCTACAAAAGCATTAAAATGGTTTGGGATGCATAATTAATGGCTTGTGTGTCTCAGGAATTCCTTGTATGTGACTGGTTGTACTTGGGCTGAATCTGGAAACATGCATGTATGTTACCCGTGCATTTACCCAAGGTGATATCTGCAGGAATTTTGGTAGGTCAGAGACCACCAGAGAATGTGGCTCCTTTACTGTTGGGCAGAAGCCTGGCTGTCCTCTGCACAGATGCTTTAAAACGATGCTTTTAAATTCAATCTGAAATGAGTGCTGCAGCAATTAAAAGCAGTAGATACTGTATAAAGTTGATGTATTGTTGATTGTATTTTTTTTCCTCTCTTTAGGTATTTCCCAGCCAAGATCCACTGGACAGAGCAGACTTCAATGCTGTGGAATATATTAATACTCTCTTTCCCACAGAGCAAGTAAGTAGTGCTCACAGTGCTGTCCTCTCCTCAGTGTGAGGAGAAGCTGATTGTAAATGGCTGAAGGCATGTTTAAACCTGTACCCAAGCCTTTTCTTCTAAACAGCAGCACAGGTAGTAACTCTATAGCAATAATCACTTGTTAAATTCGCATCTAGCGAGATTCACTCCAGCAAGCACTTTGACTGTAAAGAGTCTGCGTATTGACCGTGAAAGTTCTATTTTGATCTGCAGAAAGAAATTACTTTTATTGAAAGAGAAAGCTTTATATAAATTTCA